ACCCACAGGTTGAGAACCGCTGCATTAAGGCCATACTATGTGGTGAAAGTGGGCATCCCTGTCTTGTTCCTGTTCTTAGGGGAAATGGTTTTAATTTTTGTCCATTGAGTATGATGTTGGCTGTAGGTTTGTTATATATGGCCTTTATTATGTTGAGGTATGATCCCTCCATTCCCACTTTGCTGAAAGTTTTTATCAAAAAACGGTGTTGGATTTTGTCAAATGCTTTTTCTACATAAATTGATATGATCATGTGATTTTTGTCTTGCAATCTATAAATGTGCTTTATCACATTTATTGATTTGCAAATATTGTACCAGTCTTGCATCCCCAGAATAAATCCCACTTGGTCATGGTGTATGATCTTTTTAATGTATTGCTGGATTCGATTTGCTAAAATTTTGTTGAGGATTTTAGCATCAATGTTTATCAGGGATATTGGCCTGTATTCTCTTTCTTTGCAGTGTCTTTATCTGGTTTTGGGATTAGGGTAATACTGGCCTCATATAAAGAGTTTGGAAGTGTTCCTTTCTCTTGAATTTTTTGAATAGTTTGAGGAGGATAGGTGGTAGTTATTCTTTGAATGTTTGATAAAACTCTCCTGTGAAGCCGTCTGGATCAGGGCTTTTGTTTGCTAAAAGTTGTTGTTGTTGTTTTTAATTACCGCTCCAATTTCATCAGTAGTTATCAGCCTATTCAGGTTTTCTGATTCTTTCTGATTGAGTTTGGAAGATTGTATTTTTCTAGGAATTTGTCTGTTTCATCAAGGTTGTCCAGTTTGTTGGAATAGAATTGTTCATAGTATTTTTTTTATGATCCTTTGTATTTCTGTGGGGGGGTCAGTTAACTTCAACTCTTTCTATTCTGATTTTGTTTATTTGGGTCCTTTCTCTTTGTTTCTTGGTGAGTCTGGTTTGAGGTTCATCAATCTTGTTTATCCTTTTAAAGAACCAGCTCTTGGTTTTATTGATCTTTTGAATTTTTTTGGTCTTTATGTCATTTATTTCCACTCTGATCTTTATTATTTTCTTTCTTCCACTTACTATGGGCTTCTCTTTTTGCTCCCATTCTAATTCTTTAAGTTGTAGGGTAGATAAGTTATTACAACTTTTTCTTCTTTTTTGAAGTAGGCCTGTAGTACTATGAATTTCCCTCTCAGAATTGCTTTCACTGTGCCCCATAGATTTTTGGATTGTGTTGTTTTCATTGTCATTTGTTTCCATGATGTTTTTTATTTATTCTTTGATCTTTTTGGTAACCCATTCATTGTTTGATAGCATACTATTTAGCTTCCATGTGTTTGATTATTTTTGAATTTTTTTATTGTAGTTGATTTCTAACTTTACGCCATTGTGATCTGAGAAGATGCTTGATATGATTTCAATCTTCTTGAATTTGTAGAGACTTAGGCTGTGTCCTAACATGTGGTCTGTCTTTGAAAATATCTCATATGCACTTGAGAAGAATGTATATTCCATAGCTTTGGGGTGAAATGTTCTGAAGATGTCTATTAGTTCCATCTGATCTAGTGAGTCGTTTAGGATTGCTTTTTCCTTGTTGATTTTTTTGCCTAGAGGATTTATCCCGTGATGTCAATGGGGTATTAAAGTCCACTACTATGATTGTATTGCTGTTGATCTCTCCCTTTATATCTTCCAGAAATTTTTTTATGTATTTGTATGCTCCTATATTGGGTGAATATATGTTTAGAGGAGTTATATCCTCTTGTATCGATTCCTTTAGTATTATGAAGTGGCCTTCCTTATCTCTTGTTATGGTATTCACTTTGAGGTCTATTTTTTCAGATATAAGTATTGCTACCTCAACTTTTTTTTCCTCTCCATTTGCTTGAACAATTTCTTTCCATCCTTTCACTTTCAGTCTGTGTGAGTCCTTTGTTCTGAGATGGGTCTCTTATAGGCAGCATATATATGGGTCATGTTTTCTTATCCATTCAGCTATCCTATATCTTTTGATTGGAGCATTTAAACCATTTACGTTTAAGGTTATTATTGATGGGTACTTGTTTGTTGCCATTTTTATTCTTTATGCTTGTGTTTCTCCCTCTCTTTCTATTCCTTCTTTTTACAAAAGTCACTTTAGGATTTCTTGCATTGCTGGTTTGGTGGTGATAAACTCCTTTAGTCTTTTTTTTTTTTTTAATCTTTGAAGCTCCTGATTTCATTTTCAATTTTGAATGATAGCCTTGCTGGATAGAGTAGTCTGGGATTCAGTCACTTTCTTTTCATTACTTTGTATATGTCATGCAACTCTCTTCTGGCTGAATGTGTTTCTGTTGAGAAATCAGTTGATAGTCTAATGCAGTGGTTCTCAACCTATGGGTCGCGACCCCTTTGGGGGTCAAACAACCCTTTCACAGGGGTCGCCTAAATACATCCTGCATATCAGATATTTACATTACGATTCATAACAGTAGCAAAATTACAGTTATGAAGTAGCAACGAAAATAATTTTATGGTTGGGAGTCACCACAACATGAGGAGCTGTATTAAAGGATTGCGGCATCCGGAAGGTTGAGAACCACTGGTCTAATGGGAGATCCCTTGTAGGTAACTTTCTGTATTTCTCTTGTAGCCTTTAAGATTCTTTGTCTTTAACGTTTGCTATTTTAATTATGATGTGTCTTGGTGTGAGTCTTTTTGGGTTCATCTTGTTTGGGATTCTCTGTGCTTCCTGGACTTGTGTGACTTTTTTTCTTCCCCAAGCCAGGGAAGTTTTTTGTCATTATTTTTTTAAACAGGTTTCCTATTCATTGCTCAGCTTCTTCTCCTTCTGGCACCCCTATTATGCAGATGTTGTTTCGTTTCATGGTCTCCCAAAGCTCCCTTATACTCTCCTGCTTTTTAATTATTTTCCCCAATTGCTGCTCTGATTGGGTGTTGTTTTTTTTTACCCTGTCTTCTAACTCGCTGAACTGTTGAAACCCTCCAGGCTGTTCTTTATTACAGCTATGCCATTCTTCATTTCCTCTTGATTCTTATCTATGTTGGTGTATTTCTCATACAGGTGCTTATATTCTCATTGAGTTGCTTGTAATTCTCAGCCAGATGTTTAAGCATTACTTTGAATTCGTTATCTGATAAATTACTTGCCTCCATTTCATTTAGTTCCTTGTCTTTCCTTTGGGAATTGTTTCTTTGTCTCCCCATTTTCGCTGTCTCTTTGTATTTGTTTCTGTCTTAGATCAAACTACTATGCCACCCAGATT